TGATATTTCTAATTTGTGAGTCTTTTCAGTGTCAGGCTGTGAACATCTCTTTCTGAGTCATTCAGTGTCCATCCCATCCACTGCCCCCCCCCCCCAATGGCACAGATTCCTCTGTCTAAAAAAAATTACACACTTCACCTGTTCTGTACACTGATGACATTTTAAAAATAAGTTTTAACGTTTTCTGAGTTTTATAGTGATATTTTGCAGGGCATTTGTCTTTTGTTAGTATCCAAGAACCTTTAAACATCAGTCATGTTGCTTTTTTCCTTTTGGATCCATGGTTCTCCTCTCCAGGCCTGTATTATGTACATTCTGGAGACAGTGATTCCAATCTGAGTTATGGGAGAAAGAAGGAAGAGTCTTCAGGCTAGAGGGTTGTTGCAGACTTACCATATACTGCTGTGTGTATTTGGTCAGAAGTATGTAAACCTGTTTGTCTGAAAGTTTGTCTGAGTGCAAAAGAGAGCCTTTGTTACAACAATCATTAGCTATGGACCACTTAAACCCTTATTGACCTTATTCACAATGTTGCTGTCTTGACATTAAACCCAAGATGGCAAAGCTGAGAAGGAGTAGAGAGAACTACAAACTCAGATTCATTTTTTACCTTGGAATTTAGCTTAAGTCTAGAAGACTAACTGTATGTGTGTTCTCCGTGCTGAAAGTTGAGTGCAGAGCCTGTACACTTGCTAGGTTATAGACATGAGGAATAAAGGCCTTCATGCCCACTTCCTACAGAATCTGAATGAGAATATTTGGCAATATAACCAGAAAGCAAACAAATCTCAGACAACTTCCCTGTTGGGATTTTTGTCTTCCCTTTTGACCAAATTTCTCTTAGGGAAGCCAGACTCCTTCTCTGTGAATAAAGTCCATGGTGCCTATTTTCCCCAAACAATTTCCTTTAGTACTCACTTAATATGCTGTAGAGGATCATTGTAGGACACGTTAGGGGTACGGCAGCTTTTACTAATGTTCATAAATGGACAGTGAATCAGAATAGTTTAAAACACGGGAGTACAAGTCTGAAAGGGATACATTAGCATCCCGAATGCTACCTGTCCCAGGGGTGCTGGATGTGTGGAAGCACTGTCAGTTACTGATCTGCTTGCTGTAGTCGTATGCCTTTCTAGCCAGCATCTGTGCTTTTTATTTAACCTCTGTTTGCTGCCAAACTCTAGTACCTTTGGATTGAAAAGGAAATATTTCCTCTCTGAGCTAACACATTTCTAATGCTGCATCACAGCTGCCCTGGAGCTGCACTGAATTTCACTTGTTCTGTCAGAGTGTGTTGGGATTTTCTTTTTCCTCCTGTGCATACTGTTTTCCATAAGTAATGTAGCACAGTGTAGAACCTTAGTTCAATTCAGGTTCAAGCACTGCAGTGGAATGCAATAGGTAGGGCATACCTGCTCTTTCTGAAGAAACTATACCATTGGAAAGGCTTATTCCTTTGTATTATATTGTATTATAGGTACTATACTAATGATTGCATGTCCTCATGGTAAATTATATAATATAAATATTTATAAATATATATATATACATATGCTTATATAAATTCACTTACTCTTTCTCATTCTCCATTTGTAATTTATGGACCACAGATGATGCAGTTCTTTTTCTGTTGTGTGTCTGAATACTCTTGGCGTTGCATCTCTCATTTCCTGAAAATAGTTTCCTGGCATCCACAAAGTCAAATAGCCTTCATGCCTCAGTACAGGGCTGAAGGGTTGGTGATGTGTCAGGAAGCCAGTGTTTTGTGTCTCAGCCTTTTCCTTTTATTTATATTTTTTGTGTGTTTGTCTGTTTGCGTGTGAAACAGGAGCACAGACTCAGAGGTACTGTATCTTTGATTATATGATAGGATTTGTAATTACTGTTTTTTCATTTCACAATGTGCATTTTTAAGCTGCAACATTGCTCATGATACAATAGCAGTGACAGTTAATGAATACCTAAAAAATGACTATGACAAAAAAAATCAAACCCTGTCTTTTCCTTTTTGATTTCCTTACCTGTCACCTTGCAGTATACACTAATGAGAGTTGGATCCCATTGTAGACATCTCTCCCCAAGGCTCTGCTGATACTGTCTCTTAAGGCAGTGTGGCAGCTTATGATAATTTTTCATTCTCAATTTTCTGAGGAGCATTCACTTTGGTCTTTGAATTAAGTCCTATATGAGTGAGGTGTTGGGAGTTTTGGCATTAACTTCAGTGGGGGCAGGTTTGGGCTCTGTGCCCTTCCCCTGAAATATTGAAAATAAGGTATTTACATTTTCTCCCTGGTATAGCAGGATCCGGAACCAGGTAATCACTGTTATTGTAAGAATAGTTTGTTTTACAGGTGAGGGGAGACATAAAACTCAAGATATTTTCCTTCTCTCTGCCAGAGACTAAAATATATCCATATTTTTCAATATTACATACTAATGAATAAAACAGAGAACATTGAGCTTGTAGAAATATATTACTATTTGCACTTCTTGCCACTACAAAAAGAGGAACTACATCAGAATGGGGGAAAGCACAAAGCAGAGGATGGTGCTTTTGGCATTTTCAGTGCAATGATGGTAAAAGAACTTTATGTCCCTGGTGGTGGCTCACTGCAGATTTGGGTGACAAACACAGATTTTGTAGCTGGTTAGAAAACTACTGAGTTACTAATAGAAGCAACTTTACATTTATGGATAGGTCAAGACTATAGCCTCTCTTGTACTTTTCTTCCTACTTTACTTTGTTGGTTATATAACGCCTGCCCTGTAAAGGTAACAAAATTGAGTATTATGAACTAAACTATCAACAAATGTAGCTATATAGTAATCAAGCCCTGTTTAATTGCCGTCCTTGTAATGTTTCTAGAAGGGCCTCTGTAATCATCAGTGACCCTATAAAGAATAAATCCCAGCAATGTAAATATATAAATTATTATATATTTAATTCCAGTTGTTTAAAACACTAAAGGACAGTGGCTCCTGTGTAAAGTCTAAGTAACTGGCATTGTGCAGGGAAGCTCTGCCATGCTTAGAAAAGGGAGAATCTTCCCCAGGGCCCAGAGAAGCTGCAGCCATTCTGCATAGTTTGCAGAAGCTTCCCCTTACACTAAGGTTAGTTCATGGACCCACTGGCTATACCCTCCTTCAATCCTAATCTCCATTTCTATAGAGAGAACTGCCATGCAGCCAAGACATACAGGGCTTTCAGATTCCTCCTGCACAGGGCCGGCTCTAACTTTTTTGCCGCCCCAAGCAGCAAAAAAAAGCACCGCCCCGCCATAAACCCCCCCTCCCCCGTGCTGCCCCGCCCCGCCGAAACACCCCTCCCCCCCCACCAAGTGCCATGCCGCCGAAACTCCCCCCCCCCCCCCATGCGGAGTGCCGCCAAACACCCCCTGCGGAGCACCGCGCTGCCGAAACACCCCCACACACACGCGGAGCGCTGCCAAAACCCCCGCCGAGCACTGCGCCGCTGGAACCCCCTCCCCCCCCGCTGAGCGCCGCGCCGCACTGCCCCCCGCCACCCCAAGATTGGCCACCTCTTATCAGGTGCCGCCCCAAGCACGTGCTTGGTTGGCTGGTGCCTGGAGCCGGCCCTGCTCCTGCACAGTTCCTCTTCATTATCCTCCATGTGTTCTGAAACTGTGGCAGTTCCACTGCTTTCAGGGGTCTTTTGTGGCCAAGTGGAGGAAGTTGGGAAAGGGTCAGAATTTCCCCCTGCCTAAATGACTGCCAAGCCCTCCAGAGCATTTTTTCACAGCTGTCAGTATGGATCCCTTAATGTATTCAATAAAATAAAATCTAGCATTTGATATTTCACTTCTGAATAACAGATTTTTATGCTGCTATTTTGCAAGGTACAGTGAGCTTAGTTTGTAGTTTTTTAAAAATGTATCTTGGTATTGGCAAAACCTTTTCATGGTACACTGACAGCTTATTTGATTAACTATAGGCAAAATCCTGCCCCTGACTTAATGAGTTATGCGACATGCCGGAGTTGGCAGAGAGAAGGATGCTAAGCATACATCTGCCACTAGAGCAGGGCAGGGTGGATCAGGGTGGGCATAGGTAACATGCTGGTAGGTGAACTGTGCTACTGCTCTGAAAAAGGAGCCATACTTAGCCCCAGCTACCAGCATATATGTTAGCTGGCTGGGTGAGTGTGGTGGGGCAGGGTATTCCCTGTAGCCAGTAACCATATCCTCTCTGGGAACTACAAAGCAAAATCCTGTCTTGATGTTTGCATGGGTGAGAAACAAGCTCTCTACGCCCTCACCTCACAGAACACTCATGAAGCACAGGGCTATATCTTGTCCTATATGTTTAAAAGTGGGCTGATGGGCTTTTCATCTTTCAAGGCCTGAGTTCTGAGAGCTCCATTCCATGCACTGCTGGGGCATTTGTGATCATTAACTATAGCAACGGAAACACTGAATTTGGTCTTTAAGAGTAGTTCTGTTCACCGTCCATTTTTTGGATAAAAGTGTGTGGGAACTACCTTAGCTATTGCCTCCTCTTTGTTAGAATTCAGCTGCCAGAACTAGCTGAGGCCCACTGTATTTTCATTTAGTTTGACCTCCTCCTTGAACTCCCCGTACTTATCCCTGGCCTAATTGCCGCACCAGCCCCCTTCCAAATTACAGGCATGATCCTACAGTCCTAATTTGGGCAAAATGCCCATGCTCCCTATAATTGCAGTAGCATTTGTGGCAGTGGCTGAACTGTAATGTGCTATAAAACCACATTCTTCTCTCCCTCCCTAAAGTAGAACTTAGGCAATGTCTGACTTATACTACAGTCTCCCTGTCTGCCAGCAAGCGCCCTTTTCCATAATGAATTGTACATTTTCCCCAGAACTCTAAAGGACATGAATGCTAGTAGCAACATCAACATGAGAATGAAGAGCTGCCAGAGGGTAATTATTTCAATTTCTTAAAAGTGACACAGTGGCAAAGAACCGGTGCATGCCTCCCACTACTGTTTGATATAATATTTTTTTCTTTTGTTTCACCTAAAATATTTTTGCACATTTCATTTCAGTGACAAAATTAACCTTCCAAAAATGAATGGGAGGAATGAGTAGCAATCACAGTCCAATTGATTTCTAGTCACTCGGGTATAAAATAACAATTTGCTTTCTTATGGGCCTGATCCTGTGAAGTGCTGATTGCCAACACCTGTTGACTTCTGTTAGAGTTGAGGATGCTCAGCAACTTGCAGGATTAGGCTCATAAAGTACACACTGTCATTCCAAATGTCTTTTGGTTCATCTATGCTTCCACTGTAACACAGTCAGGGGACCTGGTTACTATATTGATAAAAGCTGTAGTACTTAACTATGTCCCTGCCTTTAACTATTAAAGGCTATGGATGGCCCTGGCTGTTATTGGAGCTTTTAGTATAATGCCTAATCCTTTCAGGTGCAAATGCCTAGTATAATTTAGTATAATGCCTAATCTCTTTGGTGCAAATGCAAGGAAACTAGACAGTGAACAAATGAATCTTAAGGGATACTTACAAGTCACCACAATATACATAAACACCCAATCTATACTTTTCTGGCCTCCCACCTGAACTCCCCTTCCCCTGAAACACAAACACACAAATCTCTTTGGGGAAAAATAAATGAAATAAGGGGGAGCTTGGATTGTGTAATGACTCGTACAACCTGGGTTTCCCACAGCACGCTATCTAAAGCAGAGGAATTTGTATAATCACAATCACAGCAGGCTCTATAGTCTTATGCTTTAAATCATTTGTCTTTATTTTAATATTGAGTCAGATCTCCCTTTAAGACAAAAATATATAGAAGTTTATTATCTCTAGGTACTGTATGTTAACTTAGTGGCTACTCCATTCAAGTTTTAATTTGTATTTTGACTTTCATTCCATTCATTGTCACCAATAGTGTCTCTTAAGAGTAACAATGACAAACCCCTAGTACTTGCAATCTTTCCTGTATAGTATGTGCTGTTTTTTGTTAGCCAGTCACTTTCCAAGATGCTCAGCATGCATGCCAGATAATCATGGGAATGACTTTCTCCCTTTGCAAAAGTTGTTCATGGAGGGGAAAATTATATTCAGAAATTAATATGTGGCTGATGCATAAAGCTAGCACAAGAGAGTGTTCTGAACTGCAAGGCTCAGATATTGACCTGAACGTTCTCAAAGATTCATGGTATCTGGACCCTTTGTTTTGGTTCAGGGTCCATCTCTCATTAGAGCTAGAGACTGTGCAGTGCAAACTTGAGCTTGAATATAACAAAGGCTTTAACTGAAATGCTGAAATAAAGAAACCCTGCTTATATACAAATGAGTATATGATGATTCAAATGTTTTGCTTCTTAGGTCTTCAGCAATATCCTTATCCAGTGCAAATGTTGGCTTATATGATCTATAAGTTTTACTGTCTACTACTTCCATTCCTCCTGCATATGGATAACTTAGATCTTGGGCTGGTCCAGCCATTTTCATGCAAGTGAAACTCTCATTGAAGTCAGTGGAGGTTTTTCCTGTGTATGGACTGAAGGAATGGGTCCACTGTGAGGATATTTACAGTTGCTGGTTATTTTATTTGGAAAATGAATGTGTTGTGGCCACCGTGCAGACCTATGCCCCCTCCTCATTTATTATAGCAACTGCTGTGACCAGGGGTGCAGAGCACATGGTCTCAAAAGCAATATCATAAACAGGCTGCCCATAAGAGGGATTGACCACCCACAACTCTCAAAAGGAATTTAACTACCTCCAATGGGAGTTGCAGGTGTTAGCCTCCTTTCAGGATCAGTTCATCTGTGAACAGGCCAGTGTATAGGGTGCTCTAACAGCAGGACAGTTTGCATCTTCCCCCAAAGATACAATGTGGATGGGCCTGGTCTTCCCATGTATGGAGAATGGGAGTCGTTTGGGGTTCTCATAAACCCCTATCTGCTGCATGGCAGAGCAAAGTCATGATAATTTGACACCGGGGAGGTCAGCCTTTTTTAAAAAAGCTGTTTCACACACCCCGTGCCTCCACCTGCCTGACAGAATCCCAGCAGTAAGTTGCTTGGAAACCTTCTCTGCATTCATGCTACCTTCCCTGGCCAGAGAGCAAGGTTCCAAAGTCTTCCTCTGACTTCTGATTTCCCCCTTGAATTAGCCCAGACACAAGCTGTTATGCTGGCACTGGCAGCAACTGATTTTCAACTGCTTTCCTACAAGTATCCAGTTCAATAAATTAAGGAAATCACCAGCAGGGCTTAGAGACAAGTAGTGAACTTCTGAATCTGTGAACTGTTGGCTGCTAATCTAAAATCTTGGAGCAATACCACAAAGAAATGAAAATCTGTAAATGAACTAAAGATAGACTGTTCAGTCACTCCAATAAGAAGACATTTAACAACTCAAGATTAAAAATCTATGGTATAATTCATTTACATTTTCCCCAGAGTTTATTAGTTACCATAGTGAGAGGCAATTCTTGAGAGTCCTCCAGACTCTCTTGCCCTGTACTTATCCCCCCCAACCCCCAATGAAATCTTGTAAGCCATTTTTTTTCTTTTTGCTCAGGCATCCAAGAACATAAGTTTTGGCAGAAGAGCTAATGCCCTTGTAACGGTCATTTGTATATAAAGGTGTAATTATTTTTTTTCCCATTTGTACCATATCAAGGCTTTGTACAATGTTTTATGTTCTGTTTTCAAATTATTTTGTATTTTATTTTTATAAACTGGTTCTAAATAAAATATTCATTCAGCATGCAAAACTGCAATCCTTGACTGCCTATGAATGATGAGTTTACTGTTTATAAAGCTCCTAACAAATTATTTTTATAGCCTATTTCTTGACTGTTGTAACTCTGAACTTATAAATGGAGAGAAGCAGCACCAATTGTGTTATGACATACTTTTTTTGTTTCTTTTTGTTACATAGAAAGTACATAGTGGAAATTTGTTGGTACTAGAGCAAGCAACAGTGAGATGTTCATGTTGCAAACTGGAGTGCTCCTACTGATTCAGCAGCCTCATACCCTGTATTACAGTAAAAAGGGTAGATACTTTAGCTTTGCTCTATTTCTTGCCCCACGCCCTCCATCCAACCAAGCAATGATTCTGCTACAGATCAGGTTCAGTGTGGTAAAAATATGGCAGATTCCAAATATGACATTCTGAGGCCCAGTCTACACTAGGAAGTTAAGTTAGTATAACTACGTCATTCAGAGGTGTGAAAAATCCACACCCCTGGGCGACACAGTTAAACCGACCTAACCCCCCAGTGTAGATGGTGCTAGGTCGAGAGGAGAATTCTTCTGTTGACCTACCTACTGCCTCTTAGGGAAATAGATTACCTATGCCATCAGGAGAACCCCTCCCATCATTGTAGGTAATGTCTTCATTAAAGTGCTGCAGTGATGCAGCTGTGTCGCTGAAGCAGTTTGTGTAGATACACTACTACTATAGTGTCTCTCAGTATGCCTCGGTCATCATGATCACATTGGAGGTACTTGTCCACCTACTGTTCCTAGAGTCTCAGGAATTCCACAGCACTTGACGTACAAACATTAGCTGTTTCTGAACTGAAAAATCCAATTGCTCATAGCAGGGACTTAAACTTCAGGGTGATAGAGGCCCAAGCTAGGCTCTACCAAGCAATGTTGCCACAGAGCAAATGCAGCAATTCAACAATTGGAGAAATGGCCTTGAAAGAATGTTGAACAGTTAAGGAGTGGCTTCTGTAGTCTGGACAAATTGGCAGTCACTGCCCAGAATGATTAGGTGAGCTTTAGAGCACAACATTTCACTAATCTAACTGGAATGTTACAGAAGCATTAATGACTACTTGTCCTAAAAGAACAGAAGAGAGGCGAAGGCTGCTTTTCAGTTAAAGAAAATACAACTTGATGAAGCCCACATCTCAATGAGTGGAATCTGAATATGCAAACTCCCAGCATGTTAATATGTGCACATCAGGCAAACAGGAATCCTATGCTATTTCCAAGCAATAGGAAGCTTTTAATATCACAGGACTCAGAAACTAGTTTTGGCCTGGGTCAGTTTAAGAAAACCTGGTAAGTGATTAGTAAAATAGTTGTACCTATCACCTGCAGCAACTGCTTTTGTGAAGTAAAACTTCTCAGAAGCCAGACTATTCCTTCATAGAAGGCACCTAGCCTGTATTAACCCCCATTGTAGATGTACTGTATGCTTGTGTTACAATATAATCTTGCATACTGTACACGGACTAGGGCAATGAGGAACACACACCAGCAATATTACTACTGCAGGTTTGCTTTTAATTAGGCAGCAGCTGCCAGATTAAAAAAAAATATATACAGGCACTGAAGTTAATATAAAGGAGAATAAAAGGGAATCTTTTCATCAGAAGTAAAGGGAAACTAATGAGTTGGAGAAAGTAACGCAATAGTTTCCAAAGGTGATGACAAAAGAACCCTACTTTTGCATTTGTGATCCTAGCATTTAATACTGATAGAACACCCCTAAGCTCCAAAGTCTAAACCTCTTCAACCATGGCGTCAGCAGGTAGCACATGTCTTTGTGCTGGTGTAGGGTAACAGTCCATCCTTGTCTCAACCTTTGGTTTCTTTCCTCCTGCTGTAGAAAGTGAAGTAACTGACAACAGTAACTATTGTGGGGGATAGAGGGTTAGTTAAGTGCCCCCCCTTCTGTATAATAATAGCTGGAAAAAATGTCCGTGGGAGTATTTAATTTTGACACTGTATGCTCTTGCCAATTTTTAATTTTTCAGATGTTTCTTTTCAGTCATCTGGATAATGTGTTTGAGATTCATTCTTCAGCAATACTTGAGGAGCTGCCAGCTAAAATCACAGAGCTCTCAACATGATCAGGCCCTCTTCTATACAGCTAGTCCCAAATGCTGGTTGTGGGGACTCTGTACAGGCTATGCGACTGAGATTTTGCTCACCTTGAGGTAGCAGTTTCACAGGCTGTAATAAGGGGATGTTATTTTGGAGCCTGAGGAAAAATCCTTGCACCACTCCCAACTGCTGGAAGCTGTTGATATCATCTCAGCTTTATCATAGTTTAAAGCAAAGGGCTTCATCATTTCCTCAGGATTAACAGAAAGGTATCTCCTTAAAGTGCAGTACTACTGTCACAACTGATTGTAAAAATGATGTCTTCTTACTTAACAGAGCCACACGCTTTCTCCGCTGGCACTGAAAGGGGGAGTTGGACCCTGTGGGTATGTGTACAGAGCAGGCATATGTATAAGTCACAATTATTTAAGAAGAGCTGTTAAATAGCAATTCCCCTATTTTGATATTCAAACTAAATGCATTGTCATCTGTAGAAATTAATGCAAAAAGCAGACTTTTGTTCTTTCTATCCTTGGCTCTTATTTGCTCCTGGGCTGGCATTTAGGAATTGTTTTCTCCTCAAACTCTCCTTGCCCCCAGGATGTAGTATGGAACTATCTTTTTCTTCTATGTTTGTACAGTGCCTAGCACAATGTGGTCCTGATCCATGACTGTGGTTCCTAAGTGCTATGATATAAATAATGATAAGGAAATGGAAGATCTTCTACCACTTCCACCCAAACAGAGGCCCAGCCAATGGAATTCTTTCAAGAGCCAGGAGAGAGCACTTGCTCTACCCCAGCCTAACCAAACCCTAATTAGTATACTGTGAGTAGCAAGTCTACTGTCAGTTCTGGACAATATAGGACATGGGTTTCTTTTCTACCTCTTTCAAACAGTGTGACATTTGTCCCCAGAAAGCATGCTGGCTCTGTTGAAGACAGAAACTGGTGCTAAGCTATACCAGCAAAGATTGTTCCATATTGAGAGCAGGCATCACTCACCAGAAATTAATTTTTTTTGCTATATTTCTCTTTTTAAAAACCTATGTGACGAATAGCCTCCACTTTCATTGCAGTTAAGCAAAATGCTTCTGCAGGGAAGGTGCATCTGAAGAGCTGGAAATGAACAGTGACCAGATGGATCAATGCTGGATGAAATATGAGCAGCACATTCATGGATCAGCAGCTCTGTGGCCTAGTTCTATCCCATCTCCCCAAGAGGTAAAGTTGCCAAACCCTGGGGATACCTTGCACAGCCCAGATTTTTTTTTAAAGTCTTTTTAAAAATACAATAAAAATAGCAGATACTAAATAAAGTCAACTATTTTTGCAGTTGGGTTTAAAAAAAATACACAACTTGTGTAACTAACAGATTCTGCTTCGGTTATTCAATAACTGTAACATTACCTTTGCACCCCACTCCATCATGCCTTTTATGTTAAAAAAAAAATCACATTAACCCAAAGAGGATACAGACAAGAGTCTTAGTCAAAATAAATTTGATTTTTTTTTTGAAAGAAGACGGTGAAGAAAACCGAAGAGAGACATTAACCAACTGCAACAGTTAGTGTTAACAAATGGGAGATTGGTAGTTAGTGTCAAATGCCACCTAATGTGAAACTTTCCCCACTGGGGAAAAAAGAGCAGGAGGCACGTCCAGTTTGCTCCATTATAGTCACAGGGTGGAGCAGCGCATACAACAGCACCTCTAACATCAGTCACTTTACACATATTCAAGTTTTACACATCTGCAAAACAGAAATAGTAGCAGCCATTTGGATGTTCTTTCTTAATGGTTCTCAGGGGTGGTCTAGGAAATTCCGAAGGGCCTGGTTCTTGAGACATAGAGCTGGAACTGCAGCTGCTGCTTCTGCTGCTGCTTCCAGCCACCTGTGCTCTGCCTCTGTCCTCAGCTGCGGAGATCTGGGGAGACCCAGGACTCAGGTACCCTGCTGTGGTCTGAGTAGAGGTGGTGGCATAGGTGGTTGGGCCAGTGTTGTTTTTCACATAAACATTTTTGATAGCCACCAGTGTGTGTGCCATAATACTGAGGCTGTTGCTGAGATCTTGCATGCCTTGCTGCAGCAGCCGAAGGTTGTGGTTGACACTGTCAAAGCCAGACTGGATCACCTGCATCTGGTTCTGCTGGATCTGCATTAGGTCCTCTTCAGTAATTTCATTTTGGTCTGTCTGAGACCGGCCTTTTGTTTTGGCTTTTACTTTCCCAGACAAGCCACCCCCAGCTGTTCCCAGAAAGGGCAGTTGCTCCTGGCTAGGTGGAACCACAGCCATGTCCTCAGAACTTTCTTCCGGCTCCACTACCTTCACTACTATTTCCTCTTTTAAATTCATCTTCTCAAGACAGGCTTGGTGGGATGGACCAGGATCATCTGTAAACCCTAAAAGGGCATGGAGGAGGGAAACAAAACAAACAGGAGTCAACAGACTTCATTATCTCTGTGGTCAATCAAACCTCTGCCTGCCCAGTGAGCACTATCGGCATTTACATGGTAGTTAATACTTCTGCTGTCAAGACCCTATAATGAAGACTTGTACTGTATTATCCCCTACACTTGTAGCATAGGTATCATCTCCTTTGATAGGGAAAAAAATTGAAACATGCTCACTGTAAATGACATAGCTCTGAGTGATGCAAATCTCAGATTGAAATCACTTACTCCCCAATAGATCAGCTAAAAGCATTTGCTACAGAAGAGATTAAGTTCATTCCAAACTCCTATTTTCCTCTCTCCCAGCTCAGCACAAGAAACCCAATATCTGCAAGGCAGAAACAAAGTGACATCCTATCTGAATTGCTCCTCCTTGCCTGAAGTAAGATTCACTGCACTAAAGCTCATACCTTGCAGACCCATGCACAACAGGGTGTAATTTTAGCTGCAGTTTACAAAGGCTGGAATTTGTATGGTGGAATGCAAGTGAGAGGAAGGAATGATCCAAATTTGCACATGTGCAGGTGAGTCTAATGCACCACATCCAAAATACATCTGTTCACTTTTCACAACCTATCATGCAAAACCTGCCAACAGTTCAGCATCTATGTGACTTAGGTAAGAGGAGAAAACCCACTATAAGCAGAAATTATTTTGAAAAAATGGGTTTGTTGTACAGTAGAGCATCCCTAACTTGCACACAACTGGGACCTCTAGCGAATCAGCAAGTAACTGAAGACTTTTTTTTTTAATTGTTGAAGACAAGGATCTGCTTCTCAAATCATGCTGTGTTCTTTTCTTCTGACAACTATAATTACTTGTGACTTTATACTTTACACAGTCTACCCATAAGGCCAGATAGTGTTCAATGAGGTTTTTTCCCCCTCTTTGAGGCACAGAATGAGAAGGTGAACTGATACTGCTTAAGACCCTGATCCTTACATTGCTTACCTTGACTATTAAGAGTAATCCCACTGAAATCAGTGGGACACCTTACAGGAATAAAGTTAAGCAGGTAAATAAGTATTTGCAAGTTCAGAGACTAACAATGCACTTTGCAGCTAGATGTGCTGAGCATGAGAGAAACAGATTTAACACAAATAAAAAAAAACCCATAATGTAAATTAATTCTTCACACAAACAAGATATACATCCTGGCCCCTAAAACACTGGAAGAGGGGCGCCTCCCTGGAATAGCGACTGGCATAAGTAAGCACACAAACTTCAAGTCTAAGGCTGCCTGGGGTAAGTCCCTCTTACATCTGTGTCATTTGTACATTACACAACTGTCTCATGTGAGTAAACAGGAGTTGTGTGTGTGTGTGGGGTGGGGGGGGGTAGGGGGTGCTCAGTGCTGCTCTGGATCTGTCTCTTAGGATGCACCCCAGGGACAGGCTGAAGACCAACATCTACCAGTACTTAAAGTGAGGGAAGGAGTCACACGGGGTCACCGACGGGGCAAAAAAAAAAAATCATCATTAAGAATGAACCGGGTCACTGGGGGCTGGAAGGAAGCCGCGTTTTACCAAAACTGCCGCTCCCAACTAATGACAGGCGCCCCCTTTCAGCGCTGAACTGGGGGAAATAAGTACCCCCCCCCGCAAATGCGGAGCCCTCCCCTCCGGGCGCTGCACAGAGGCTGAGCTGGCCCCTCTGCGGGAGGGATGATCCGCTCTTCTGCTCAAGACAAGTGACCTGGAGGGGCTAATCCCCCGGCTCCATGGCAACGCCGACTCCCGCCGCGCCGGAGGCCCAGACCGGCGATGGGGGGCGGGGGTCGTGTGGGGCTGCGCTCCCCCCTCACCAGCCCCGGAGCTCACCGATATCCACCACGGAGGCTCCGGGCAGGTCCAGCGTGTCAATGCCGCCCACGATAGGCACGGCCTCGGCGGGGCCCAGCGCGGATCCGTAGGCGCGGTGGTGGTCGGGCTGCGGGGCGGGCTGGGCCATCTCCTCCGTGCACAGCAGCAGGCCGAGCCCGCCGGGGTGGCCGGCGGGGCCGCAGCCCTGCGAGAGGCGGCAGAGCTTGCTGCGGTCGCGCCGCTTCAAGTCCCTCCAGCGCTTCTTGAGATCCTCCACGTCGCGGGGGCAGGCGGCCACCGGGTTCACCTTGTGCCGGATCAGCTCCCACACCCGCCGCTTCTGACCCGGGGAGGCGCGGCCCGGCCCCGCCGCGAACAGCAGCTGCTCGTGCTTCAGCACCTGCTCGATCAGCACCTCGGTCTCCGCCTCGTTGAAATTGGCCTTGCGCCGCTTGGGCGAGTCCTCGGCCATCATCCTCCCCGGCGGGCGGGGCCCGCGGGCCGCCGCGATCGGTGCGCGGCCGCCGCTAGGCCACAGCCCGGGCCCTGCTCGGGAGACCAACGCCGCGCACGAGAGCGGGGGACGCGCAAGCCCCCGGCGCAGGCGCCCCGCGCCCCGCTTGTTGACATGGGGAGAGGGCGGGAGTCAGTGTCCTGGCGGCCCCACCCCGCGCAGGGAGCCGGCGCGCGCCGCTCCCCAATGGGAATCCCCGCTGCGACCCGCGGCCGCCCCACCTGGCCCCCAGCACCACCGGCGCAGAGCGTTCTAGCCCCGCCCCTTTCTGGCGTCACAAACACACCCCACGGCGCAAATCTGATCCCAATCTCTTCCCCGCCCCAGGCCCAAGTAGGCTAGTGGCGGCGCCGTCCCCGCCCGCGTGGTACAGCATTCTAGCCCCGCCCACAGCTGGTGTCCCCCGCGCTCGGGGGCAGGCGGGGTCTGCCCCCACCCCCAGCTGCAGCCGCTCTTGTCAGCGCGCCGCGACGTGCGTTGTGCGCCTGCTCGGCGGGCGGCCGGGGCCGGGGATGGCGGCTGTTTTGGAGCTGCTGCTGCGGGAGGAGGTGGCGCCCGGTGCCGTGGTGCGGTGGCTCGACCACGGTCCCAGCCACCGCCCAGCCGAGGTAACGCGCAGCCCGGCAGCGCTGTGTGACGCCGCTCAGCCCGGCAGCGAGGGGCCTGGGCCTACTGCAGCTCCGACTCCCCGGCCCGGGCGGGCCAGGAGTCCTTGTGGCGTGGGGGGGCTGGAGACTGGCGTCTTGGGCTGCAGCCGGGCTGCCCCGGGGTGGCCTCTGGGCCACACGCCCAGCCCGCCGGGCGCCGCTCGCCTGAGCACGGAGCTCTGCTCCCGGGGGCTGCAGGGCTCCCTGCGCACTCGGGCCCCGGGTCCAGGCGCAGCGTCACTGGAGGGGCATCCTGTGGAGGGGAGGGAACCTCGTGTTCTGCTCAGCACTGATCTGAGGGCAGCCCGGGCAGCCGAGGGGGCCAAGGCAGGGACCAGGGCTCTCCACGGCGCAGGGCAGCTCATGAAGTTGGCACCCTGTGTGCTGGGCCCTGGCGGTGGTCAGTGCTTACAGCGGGCAGGAGGAAAATAATACGGGAGGAGCAGAGGCGCTGGTAAAGAAGTGCCTGGGGTGTGTCCCTCCTCAGCAGCCCAGCCCCACTAATGCCTATATAAATAAAGTGCCAGGTGGGTGTGATCCTCTGCGCCCTCCCCATCCCCCCGTTTTCAGCACTGCCCGTAGTTTCCATGAGCTGTGTTAAGAGAAGGGTAGCTAAAGTTACGTTTTACATTAATTAGGTACAGCTTTTTGTTTCTGGCAGTTTGCCAGCCCTGGTGTGACCCACAAAACTGCTTGGTTATTATTTTGGTCTGTAGCCGCTGAGGCAGGCTTGGCCGAATGAGAGCTGAGCAGGGAGTCTAGATAAACTCAGCCTGAGCTACAGATCCAAGTGTATGTACAGAATACTCACACAATTCTCTTGTATTCCTGAAATATGGCTATGCCTGTAGTTTGTGAGCTCCATCTGCTGGTTTTGCAGCAAGCTGTTATCAAACGCTATTTTAAAGGCACATTCTATTAACATATTCTTATCAACCTGATAAGCTATATGAGATCTAGCCTGGTTATTACTTGAATAGGAGATTTCCAAAGAAATCCAGGTTGCTGTAGGAAGAGAGTGGCAATTTAATAGATGGCACGGATCCCTCTGAGTTAGTGCTGACTAATTACTCTAGTGGAGTGCTTGGATACTGTGCTGCTGTCAGTGCTGTCTGTTGCATGAGATGTAAAATGCTTCATTAAAATCCCTTGGCATTTTTCATAAGTTCAAGGTGGTAAACACTATCTTTATCAAAGGCCACCTCCTTTCTAAAACTGTTGTATAGCATTGCTGCTGAGCAGGTGCCACTTTCTAATGCCACAGTTACTATGAATCAAGGAGTAGCTGAATTGATAGTAATTGTTAAATACATTTACCTTTGTGATGTGTTCAGAATCTTTTTGGGAAGAAAAATGCTGTATAAATGTAGTTTAATTCTGTGATTGTAAATAAAAGGTGCCACCATGGGAGAAAAATCTATATCTTGTGGAAAAGAAGTCAAATCAAAAGACACTAACTGCAGTTTTGAAACAAAAACTAAAAAAGCAAAGGGAAAGAGCTAAAAATTGAGATATATTGTGAAGTCATTGTCAGTGCAGCTTTGCCAGCTAGAAGAATATTGCTTAAAAGGGAGATTAGAGGTCTAGTGAGAGCGCACTGGACTGGGAATCAGGAGACCTGGATTCTATTCCTGGCTCTCCCCTGCCTTTCTGTGTCTCCTTGTATGTGTAGAGTGCCTAGCAGTGAGTCTTGGTTGGGGCCTCTCGTTTCTGTTGTAATACAAATAATAAATAAACGTTGGTTGTGAGTGATTGTGTTTTTGGGATTGTATTTGAAAACAGGCTTTGCACTTTATAGCATTTTCTGCTTAAGGACCTCAGTGTGCTTTACAAATATTAACTAACCCCCACAGCTGTCTCACTCATTAAGACACTACCCCTATGAGGTAGACAAGTAATATTCGCATGTTCTTAGATGTTAAGGCCAGAAGAGAGTATTCAATCATTTCGTCTGATCTCCTGTATAACACAGACCTTAGAATTTCATCTAGTTACTCTTGCATTGAGAGTCCATTTTACAGGTGGGAAACCTGATGGTCTGACAGAGTAACTGTCTTGGTGAAGGGTGCAGTCCTAGGATACATCAGGTGTGGTATTTCTAGTAGAGATAGGGAAGTGTTAGGATCCTTATACAAGGCACTGGTGACAGCTCATCTGGAATACTGTGTGCAATTCTAGTCTCCCATATTTAAGAAAGATGAATTCAAACAAGAACAAGTGCAGAGGAGGGGTACTAGGATGATCAGAGGAAGGGAAAACCTACCTTACAAGAAGAGACTCGAGGAGTTTGGCTTGTTTAGCCTAACCAAATGAAGGCTGAGAGGAGATATGATTGCTCTCTATCCATACATCAGAGGGATAAATACCAGGGAGGGTGAGGAGTTAAGTGTCAATGTTGACCCAAGAACAAATGGGTATAAACTGGCCATCAACAAGTTTAGGCTTGAAATTAGATGAAGCACAGGTGCGGACTTTGTGATTTCCCTGGGGAGTGCTCGACATCCCTCTACCCCCCGCTCTGCCCCAGACCCTGTCCCCACTTCACCCCATGCCCCTACCCTGCCTGTTCCACCCCACCTCTGCTTCTCCACCCCCCAGTGCCTCTTCCATGGTGCTGAACAGCTGATCACCAGCGGGCGAGAGGCGCTGTGGAGGAGGGGGATGAGCTGATCAGCACAGCTGCCAGTGGATGTTGAGCACTTGCTATTTTTTTCTGTGGATGCTCCAGCCCCAGAGCACGAAATCAAGTGAAGGAGGAGTGAAGTTCTGAAGCGGCCTTCCGGGGGAGGAGGTGTGCGTGCGTGCGAGAGAGAGAGAGAGAACCTAACTGCCTTCAAGACTGAGCATAAGTTTATGGCGGAGGAGATGGTATGATGAGACTGCCTACAATGGCACGTGGCCCATCTGCGACTGCTAGTAACAAATATCCCCGTTGTCCAGAGATGGGACACTAGATGGGTAGGACTCTCAGTTGCTACAGAGAATTCTTTTGCAGGTGTCCGGCTGGCAGGTCTTGCTGATATGCTCAGGGTTCAACTGACGGCCATATTTGTAGTCGGGAAGGAATTTTTCCCTAGCTCAGATTGACAGAGACCCTGATAGGTTTTTGCCTTCCTCTGCAGCATGAGGCACGGTCACTTGCTGGTTTGAACTAGAGCAAATGATGGATTCTCTGTAACTTGAAGTCTTTAAATGATTACTTGAGAACATCAGTAACTAAGCCAGAGGTTATGGATCTATTACGGGAGTGGGTGGTAAGGTTCTGTGTCTTATGGTGTGCGGGAGGTCAGACTAGATGATCGCGATGGATGCTTCAGGCCTTAATATCTAAGTCTAAGGGCATTTAGCAAGTCTGCATCAGAGCTGATAAAATCCAGGTCTGTTGACTGTCAGTTTTGTGCTCTAATTAGTAGAGACATTTTTGGAAAACAATGAACAGTGGAAAAGCAGAGAGAGATTTTACAGATTTTTCTTACTTGAGCAGGAAACTGAAATTCATTTGCATTTTCAGCCAAATCTCCCAGCATGTGCTTCTTGAAGGGTATATATATGAAGCAAAGGAAGATACCTCCTCTCTTAAGAAAAAGCTCCATAAAAATAAAGTACTTGCTGTCTTCTGAAATTCCTGCTTTCCATTTCACCAGGGTCTCACTTAGGGAAATAAAGCTTTTCCTCTTTGGATAGGGCCTAAGAGAGAAAGCACAAGTATGACAATGTGGCTGCCAGGTCTCAGTACAAAAAAGAATTAGTATCCAAGAGAATTCTTCTGGCAGTGTGTCTAACTTTGCCTAGTTCTGTTGTGAGGAAAATAGAAATGTGATGCACTGAAAGAGCAGAGTGCCTTTTTTTACACTGCATACAAGGTTTTAGAGTATTATAATAATTTTTAAAAGCCGATGGTAGAATTCTCAGATAATTTACAGATGTTACCCTTTTAAGGATTATGTTCCCATGAAGATTTAAAATATATTAATGTTGCATTTTTATTTAGCTTTCTTGAATATTAGTTTTGTGCATCATAAAAGTTACAGCATACTATATTTGGAGCTCTGTGATCTCACAAGTGAATAATATGACTTCATTAAAATGTAGTAAGAGCTTTTCTCTTCTGTTGTGTCCTGCATGTGAGGATATCAAAGCATTATACAAACAATCATTTATTTTTGGAGCACCCTCTGAGGAAGTAGATGGTATTAGTAGGGAACTGGAGCACAGAGAAGCTACAGGTTTAATAAATTGTCCACTAATTTTGTTTGCCTCAATTTTTGGCACCCTACTTGAAACATTTTAAAAGGGTCTGATTTTGAGGTTCGGATCACCCACAGCTCTTAATGACTAGGTGCAGTGGTGGATGCTAAGCATTTTTGTCAGACAGGCCCCAATTGTTTCCAGCTGGGCAGCCAAAATTAGTGGCTGCTTTTGAAAATTTGGGCCTGAGGAATCATTGTCAGACTTGGGAATTCTGTAGAATCAAGAACTCCTGAATCTGTTCCTTGCTGTAACTACAGGAGATGCTCCCTCAACTTAAAAGTGTAAGAATCCATGATGAGGATGAATTTGTGCCCAGTATATGAGAGCGAGAAACAAATTGGAGTAAGTCCATGGGTATCTTTATTAATGTTTTGTTCTCTTTCCTTGCAGGAGAACCATGTCCATGACAAGCTGGTACCTCATAGTTTGCTTCAGAAAGACTTCGTGCCTTTCCTGTTGAATTTTTTAAGGGAACAGACTAGTCAGATCTTGACCAATGGGCCCTCTACCCCTGCTAAAACCCCAAATTCTAAGGTCCTCAGGAGCTCAGCTAGCCATGAGAGCCAAAAGACAGGGTCAGAAAGAAGGGCAGGCAACTCAGCAGGGTCATGCAGCAGCCGAATGCAGCTCTTTTCGCAGAGGACCTCTGCTAGCTCCTGTACCCCAGGTGCTAGTTTTCACTCCTCTGCTGCATCAAGTGGCTCTTCTGCCTTTACTGGGTCAAGCTTGTCTGGCCTCGGCAGTGATTTCCCCAGCACCAGCCCAAGCTTTGGTTGCAGCCCTGTGTTCAACCACAGTGAGAAACGTTCATCTCAGAAGGCCAATTTGGGCAGCTTCCTTATGCCCACACCAGATGTCCAGCCAGTGAGGCGAGGCAGAAGAAAAGGCTACAATTCTGCCAATGCCGCTGGCCGGCAAGTAGCTCGGGACATAGGGCGAAGCCTCACTGAAGAGGAGGATGGGAAGGGTGACAGCACATCGTTGAGTGGCGGGAGGAGGAAACGGAGTGAGGTGGGTCCTACCTCACCCAATTCCCCACCTGATCAGCTGAACCTCAACAACTTGGAGGAGTTCCCACCCATGAGTGCTGCTTCTGGCTTGACAAAGTAAGAGCAAGTCTTCCTTGTTGCACTTTTATTTTTCTGATCGTGCTGGCAGCATTGAGTACTGCAGGTTATTTATTGGAAGCAGCTGACATTGTTATCTCACAGGTAATAATATATAGGTGATCTTGTACTGTCTCAGTTATGAACGTTTTGTAATAGATTGCAGGTTGGGGGCTGTTGCTATGCTGTGCAGCCCATGTTTCTCAACTCACCATGCTTCCCCCTCCCCAATATCCTTCTGAGGCCCCTCTAGGGCAGGGGTCGGCAACCTTTCAGAAGTGGTGTGCCGAGTCTTCATTTCTTCACTCTAATTTAAGGTTTCACGTGCCAGTCATACATTTTAACATTTCTAGAAGGTCTCTTTCTATAAGTCTGTAGCATATAACTAAACTATTGTTGTATGTAAAGTAAATAAGGTTTTTAAAATATTTAAGAAGCTTCATTTAAAATTAAATTAAAATGCAGAGCCCCCCGGACCGGTGGCCAGGACATAGGCAGTGTGAGTGCCACTGAAAATCAGCTCGCGTGCTGCCTTTGGCACGTGTGCCATAGGTTGCCTACCCCTGCTCTAGGGGCTCATCTTCATTAGGAAATCTTACCATTAAACACAGTTGTGAAGAGTTGAGACAGTGGTGATGTGATGCTGAGCACACCTTTGTCTTTGTTTGCCATGACCAGTGAGTCAGTCAGTCAGCATTATCTTGACTCTTTACAGTTGTATTTAAACATGATAGGGCTTATCCTCAATATGAAATCCTAGGTGGCTCCTCTACTTTGCTGCAGCTGTCTGGAACAGCTGCTGGGATGGCAAACAGGCATTCTGAGACCTCTGGTGGCAACAGCATTGGCAGGTGAGGCATCGTATGTCTCTGGCTCTGTGGTGGCGGTGAGAGGGAAGTGGGTCCCCTGTGGTAATGGGCTGGATGGATGGTTGGCATGTGGGTTCTGTTTGTTTCTTGAAGTGCATGAGTTTCCTCTGATTGCTAATGATCTCTTCTAGCTGGGCTGGCTAGGGGCGCAGCTCTTCCTGGTGATACAAGCTGTTGGTCCTTTTTTCTCTCTCTCTCTCTCTTTAATGAAAGCTAAGATTCACTGCTAGATCTCAATAAAGGAGAAATCAGGCCCCTTTAAGGTCTCTCATGTTTGCCACCTAAAATCACTTTTGAAAATTTAGGTCATGGCTATCTGTAAGAATCTGAAGGATGTGTGATTCTGAAAGGCCTCTTCAGATCAAGGCAGGGGCTTCTCCGGCTGGACTTAGCTGAATGTAATGTAGGTCTGCCCCACTAATCTTAGCCACCTTAACTCTCCTTCCCTTTAGTAGACCTCAAAGTTCATAGGTTCAGAATTCCGAATAGTTGCTACAGTAGCTGATACTCAGCTCTCCATACCACAATGTAGGCTACCAGAGTTTTCTTCCTGTGAGTCAGTGGTCTCTTTCTCCGTGAGGGGTGGAGTACCCCCTCTCTTTCCAGGAGATATAGTTACAATTGAATCTGTACTTAGCAATTCCTGTTAGGCCTGGTCCATCTACACTGAGGTAATATCTTCACACACACACACACACACACACACACACACACACACACAACAAAATAAATAAATAAATAAA